ACGGACAGGGTGTTTTTTGTCACTCCGTTTTCAGCTTTCGCTTTTGTAAAATGGAACACGAAAATACAACGAAGCTCGAAAGCGCACACAACAACGGCGCCACCGGGGGAACGGAAACGGCAAAAGCAGATCAGCTGAAAACGGTGACAGCCATTACCTCCTAAGGCCCTCGAAACGAGAAACAAAAAAGCGGGCACGTGCGAGCAGGTCAGGGTCGGCGGCGGCGGCATTCTCCTCAGTCGCTGTCGGAAGAGGCGCCTGGATCAGAGAAGAAGGCGCTGCCGTCTTCGACGGGCACGGGCTCGGCCCCGTCTACGCCCTCGTCTGCATCCGTTCCTCTCCCTGTCCGCCTCCTACGCTTTGCTTGGTGGGCGCTGCCATCCCGCGCGGTCGGGCCCTGCTGGCTGGCACCCTTGACTGAGACGGCTGCGTCAGTGGGGGTGGAGCTCCAGGACCGATTTTTGGGGGGCGGCTTGCACGTGAGCTGAAAACGTACGGGAGACGCATTGACAACGAGAAAAATAGGAGCGGGCGGGCAAGGGGAACAACGGGGAGTTGAAAACGGGGAACAGTGTTGCTCCAATCCCCAACGCAGCCGTCTCAGTCAATGGTGCTAGCCAGCAGGGGGCGCGCGTTCGGGATGGCAACGCTAATCAAGCATAGCGTGCCAAGGACGTGCCTCCCGAGCCCGTGCCCGTCGAAGACGGCAATGCCTCCTCCGACGGCGACAGGGATGCATGGCCCCCCTAACTTGGGTGCGCGAGATGACCGACCACCTCTAAGGGAAAGACGGAAACGCAAACAAAACGGCACGCTGAAAACGAATAAAAAACGGGTCGAATCGGACATAAAACTTTTGTTGTTGATTTCCACTACAACGAAAGTAAGACGGAACCGAAAACGGACATAAAAAGAGTTCAAAACGAAAAACAAAGTCTTGATCGTTTGAGAGACATCCAAGGACCCGGCTGCACTCGGACCTGTCTCGGAACCGCTGAACTTGGAATCCGCTGAACTCGGACCTGGCTGAACTCGGACTCGGCTGCACTCGGACCCGGGTGATCTCGCACCCAGTTGAACTCGGATTTGCTGATCTCGGACACAGCTGAACTCGGATTCGGGCGCTCCCGCTGCGGCGCGACCTTCTCGTCGAGTGCAGGATCCACAGACAACTCTCCTCCTCCTCCTCCTCCTCCTCCTCCTCTTTCTCCTCCTCCTCGCTCCTCCCTCTCCCCCTCCTCCTCCTCCTCTCCTCCTCCTCCTCCTCCTCCTCCTCCCTCCTCCTCCTCCTCCTCCTCCTCTTCCTCGTCCTCCTCCTCCTCCTCTCCTCCCCCTCCCTCTCCTCCTCCTCCTCCTCGTCCTCCCTCCTCCTCCTCCTCCTCCTCCTCCCTCTTTCCTCCTCCTCCCCCTTTCCCTCCTCCTCTTCTTCCTTCTCCTCCTCCTCCTTTTCCTCCTCCTTTTCCTCCTCCTCCTCCTCCTCCTCCGTCTCTTTCTCTTTCTCCTCCTCCTCCTTCTCCTCCTCTTCCTCCTCCTCCTCCTTATTCTGGAAAGTGTCCAGAGCGTGGGGTGGTGGAACAAGTGGGGGGATACGGTTAGATGCTCTGGCGTAGCGTGTCGCGCCACCGGTCCTGGTTCACCACGCTTCGGCGTGACACGCCTTCCCCGACCCAGTTCTTACGCGTCAGCGGCTCGAGTATTGGGCAGCCCCCCGCCCCGCGGAGCGGAGCGGAGCGACACGCTATCCGATTGTTTTGCATATCGTGTCGCAGGGGCCGCCGCCGCGATACGCTAAGCAATAACTCCTGATCTAGATAATGTCGGACAATCTCGCCGCATCGCTGATGTATCCAGAGATCATCGCTAATTTTCGGACCCCAGGACCATATGGATAAATCTGTCTCGGCAGATGCAGCAAAACGATTTGGGCTAGGGCTCTTTGTATAATTTTCGCGATGTTTCATTTTTTCGCAACGTCGGAGTTCAGGGCATTGGCGATGTGGCTCGATGTCGAGCCCGATTCTCCGCGCCGACGTCGTCGATGCATCGCCGAAGTCGCCGCTGCATTGCCGATACATCGACGTTGCATCGGCGACGCGGCGCGATCCGCCGACCCCATCTACGCGGATCCCAGCCGGGAGTCCTCCGAGGCCTCGGTGTGGCGTGCACGTGCGAACTCACGCCTACACCCCGCGATTTCTGAGGGGGGGGGGGGTCACTCCTCTCGGGAGCTGCCGAGCGAAGTGCGCCCCGCCCTGCTCCTCCTCAGAATTTTTGGGTCGGGCGCGCACGTGGTTGAGTGCCAGAGGTCGCCATGAACCAAATCTGCATATCCGACGATCTGATTGTTTCAATCCCGGCTCTTTTCTTCAGTTTCAGCCTCCGCGGGGCTCGTCGTCAGGCCCCAGGACCACCACAACGGGTCTGGGGCGATACACTGGCCACTGGAGAAAGGTCGGGACTTCCATGCGCTTACGTAATGCACAACCACGTAGTTCTCATTGGACGTCCTCCTGCAGTCCTTGGGTGTCCTTCCCTCCTCCGCCCCCTTCTGCTGTTGCTCACCCGGGTCGTCCACCTTGGGAGCTGTATGGCGGTCGGGGCGCATTTTTTTTGGATGGTTTTCGACGTGCCTGGCCCACGGCGTCGGCAATATTGGGCGATTCGAACCTTCAACCTTGCCCGAATCGATGGCCTGAATTTCGGCCACGCTTGCAGGACAGCTTCTGACTGCTGCTGTCGCTGTGGCTTCTGTTCCCGCCGTTGGACGCGTGGAACTGGAGGGCTTTCCCCCTGATCCGGTTTCTGGCCGGCCCTTCATGGGCCCCCGCCCTGTGTTCGGAGCTGCTGCAAGTTGACTGATCCCTCACCTTTGCAAATGTGTCGAACATGCTCCCCAAACGGTACGAAACAGTAGAGCGGGAATATCCGCCTCGGAAGGGTGAACAGGGCAGACATTTCCTCAGAAGTATGGCGGAACCAGCGGCGGCTAAGCAGGGTGGAAATCAAAAGCAAAGGAGCTTGAAGCACAGGTCGGGAATTTCCGCCCTGCTCACAAAGTCGCCACCCGCACGGAGGATCCGAATCCAGGGCGTCCCGTGGGGAGGCCCTTGGGGTCCGCGCAGGGCCCGTTTCCTGCAGGAACCGTCCCGCTAACATCCGACGGTGTGATTTTGGCTCGATCCGCGGCCCAAGAGGCCTGGGCCGACCGCACTATCGACTGCATTCATGTATGCACACTTAGAGAATTCATCTGTACATACGTGTATAAATACATTCAAATGTGTCATATGCACCTGCGACCAGGGAGCACACTGTCAAGCTAATACGCGTTACTTTGTACGGCGATGTTGCAGGTATCTTGGACAGGCGTTTGTCAGGCCTTTTCGGGGTCCTGCTCGCCCGTCTTGGGGTGGTATCGGCCGCGTTTCGATGATCTTGGCGGCCCAGGATATCAGACAAATCAATGAACGCGATCTCTTCAACCTCTCCTGTACGCCCTCGTGGAGCTCACTCGAGCCATGTCGGAGCCTTTTTGGACCATCTCCAGTCCATGAGAGCCGTTTCTGTTGAGAACCGTTTCGTTGGCATTCGTCATCAGGTTTCGCCGTGGAGCTCCGTAGCTGTTGCACACGATGGCGCTTGTGGATAACAGTGCCGCGCGACAGGAAAACGCGGGAGGTATATCCAGCTGCCTGCCGCAAGTCTCGCCATCGCGCCTTCGCAAGAGAGCAGAAGGAAGGAGGCTGAGTTTAGGAACGGCGCCATCCCGATGACTGGTTTGATGAGGACGGCAGGAAGGAGGTCGAGTTCACACACCGCTGCAGACCAGCGAGTGATCTGGGGAGGGTTGTGATTCTGGCGTCGTCTTCGTCTATGCGGTAGTCACTGCGCAGAGCGTGCCCGAGTGTAATGTGGCGCACGTTGTTTCCTCTTCGGGCGCAGGCGTGGATGAGGGGGCTCATCTTCGCCTTGTCTGTGAGATCAAGCTGCTCCTGCCAGCATCGTATACGGCTTCTGTCACTGGCGTCAGAGAAGTGCTTTGCACCAAACCAGAGAGATACCTCACGTATTCGTTGCATTTACTCCAGTGCAACCCACGCCTCGTGGCAGTTGTGTTGGAGTATTCGGGACTTCAGGGCCCTAGGGTCTGAGGGTTTTGGAGTTCTAGGGCGTTAGGGACTCAAGGTTTCAGGGTATTAGGGTATTCATTTCTTCGGGTTTCGGGGTCTTCGGGTATCAGGGGGTTCGGTATCGTCCAAATACTTGCCGCAAGTACCACCACCGGGGAAAATCAGCAGTCACCTCATCTCCGAGCCCCGAGCCTCCAACAGAGCCGGCGGCGACACTTCAGGTCGCGCGGGCGCGTTGTCGCGATCCGTTAGTCGGGAGACATAACAAGGGGGAGTGTGAGGGGGTCGGCCTCGGCGGCCCCAGATGACGGAAAGTGCGCGTAGCGTCGCGATCCGTTAGTAGGGAGAACAACCAATGGGGCAGTATGAGGGGGTTGGCAGGTCATCGTCCCAGATGACGGAAAGCGTGCGTAGAGTCGCGAGCTATTAGTGAGGAGAAATATAACGGGGGGTCGTGTGAGGGGGTTGGCAGGACCCGCCCCAGATCTAATCGTCCAACATCGGGCCATTGTCGGCCCAAGATGGCCCAAGTCGGCCACAAAACGCACAAGAGGCCCCCAAGACGGCCCAAGATGCCCCCAAGGCGGCCTAACCTACTTCCAGGGCGGCCTCAGAGAGGCCCAAGACGATTCCTAAGACGGCCCAAGAGCGTTCAAAGCGAACCCAAGATGGCCTCAAGACGGCGAGAGAGGCCCCCAATTCGCTCCAAGAGGCTCCCCCAAAGGACTCCTTAGCCATTTTGGCTCAAGGCGTTTTTGGTCAAGCTGCAACGGCTACAGGTGTTTTAGTCAAATTCCAGAGTCCCCGCACAAAGCGCCGCCCGATGCAGATGCAGGAGGAGTTCGGCATTCCCCTGCCCCCCTGCCCCAGGTGGTGCTCGGCGCACCTCCCAGGCTGGAGCACATGCACTCAGCCGACCCAGCGCCGCCGCATGCAGCGCAAGGCCTTGAGCAAGGCCGTGTGAGCGCGCGTGCGCGTGTGGCCTGTGGGCAGACTGACGCCGCCTCAGTTCAGAGTGCTGATCTCGTAGGGTGTTCACTCTTTTTTTTTTTTTTTTTTTTTTTTTTTTTTTTTTTTCTCTCTCTCTCTCTCTCTCTCTCTATATATATATCACAACGCACTCCGTCCTCATCGTCCCTGTCGTCGTCCCCCTCGTCACGTTCCCCGGGGTGCCCCTGGAGAGCAATTTTCGCGGGGCCATGGTGCCCCTTGTCTGTAGGGCTTTGCTGGGTCGCCGCCCTCGTCGGGCGCACCTGCAGTCGCAGTGTCGGCCCTCTGAATCTTCGCGCAACGCGACCGTCGAGGCTGTGCGAGACCCACTGTTAGTGATGCCGCAACGCCAATTGTTCTATTTATATCGACGGGTGCTGGCGGCCCCAGTACTCCACAGTTATTTTAGCGGCCGTGGCGGGTGTATTGTTTGGGGGAGTGTTCCCCAACCGCGAAGACATTAATGCGGACGTGTTTCACTCGCTGCACTTGCGCAACCAGCTTCAGGTGTGGGCGCGCGCAGCAATTGCGCGCTGTTGCGCCAAATGCAAACATGGAAGAGAGGTAGTCGGGAGGAGTGCCGATCTCTGCGCGGATTGTCGTCACGCACGCACTTTCGTTGTATCCCGTTTCGCTGTGAATTTGTAGGGCAAATCAGCGTAATCCACATGAAATTGCACCTGCATGAAGTGCAGGGACTGTGCCCAAACTACTCGATATCCTCCTGCCCCCGTCCTCGTCGGTGTTCTCCCTTCTCCGCCTCCTCTTCCTTCTACCCGATTGGGCGAAATTGGCGGAATTCATACTCAAAAGTACGCAGTGTTGTTATGATTACAGTGCCATTGAAGAGTCAGAACGGAGTCCGCCTACTGTCCCTTGGTGATCTCTTTCCGAATAGGTGGTAGGAACCGTTCAGGCAATTTTACGCCGCGAAGACGTTGCCTCTGAGTTGGTGCCAAGTGTTTGAACTTGACTCACAAGCTCTTATGGTGGAGGACGCACAGCGAGCGATTTGTAGACTCGGGCTTGGATTGGGTGACGCGGACATGTAAGAGATGTATTGGGAAGGGGTTCGGATCTTTGCGCAGCCTGGTACATGCCGCAGTTACAGACATCGCGGTGTTCAGTTTCTTTCAGCTCTGCACATCTGCAGATGCAACGACAGCGCCATGCGCACGACTGCACAGATGTCATGCCAAAAAAAAGAGGCTCCCCAAAGGACGCCCGAATGGTGAACATCGCCTGGGAAAACGTGCATTTCTAGCGCATTCGCTTCTTTGGTCTGAACAGCGTCCAAGACGGCCTAAGAAGCCCCAAAGACCGCCCCAAGACGGCCCAAGAGGTCACCAAGAGGGCCCCAAGACGGCCCAAGTGGGCTCCAAGACGGCCCAAGAGAGTCTCAAGAAACCCAAGAGAGGCGTCTGAGGGTCACAAACGGTTCCGGAACGAGCCCCAATACTGCCACAGGAGGTGCCCGAGAGGACCCCGAGAGGGGCCCAAGACGGACCCCCCGCCCCCCGAGACGGTCAAAGAGGGCCCCAGGACGGCCCAAGAGGGCCCCAAGACTGTCCAAAAGAGCCCCCAGGAAGGCCTGGAAATGCAACACCCATGGATTTTCGCACGGTTTTTTGCTACATGTTTGTGCGACGTGCCGAAGCCTGAACACCAGCAGTGCTCCCAGAAAGACACTAAGCAAGCGACCTCGCGCCCTCACAAAGTACGCGCGCTTCCGTCCCTGTTCCAACTAGGTCTAATCGCCACAATTTTCGGCCATGTTCGGCCCCAGAAGGCCCAAGTCAGCCCCAAGAGCGCCGCAGACTGTCCAAGAGGCTCCCAAACCTGCTGAAGACGCCTCTAAGACGGCCTCAGGGAGGCCAGGAGGACCCCAAGACGACCCAAGAGCGATCAAAGACGGCCCAAGATGGTTTCAAGACGGCCGAAACGGCCCTGAAGATGCTCCAAGAGGCCTTCAAGAGGACCCCCAAGAGACAAACATCGTCCCATTCCTTCCGGAAAGCGCGCATTTTGGCACATTCGTTTTTTTCCCGGTTTCACGTGGTCTAAGACAGCTCAAGAGGCCCCCAAGACTTCCCAAAGACTGCCCAAGCGGCCCCCCAAAGGGCCCCAAGGCGGCCCCGGGGGGCTCCAAGGCAGCCCAACAGAGCCCCAAGACGGCCCAAGAGAGGTCCGTAGCCATTTTGGCTCAAGGCGCGGCCAGCGCCGCCCCGCGGCCTCGCGGGCGCGATGCGCGCGCCGCGCGCGCCGCGGCTCGCGCTCGCCGCCCTGGCGGCGCTGTGCGGGGCGGGCGAAGGCACGACCGCGGGCCTGGCGAACACGTTCATGGAGGGGGTCGGAGTGGACGACAATACGTTCTTCAGCCTTTGTAGCAGCGTAGGTGACCTGTCTGAGTCGCTCACACTGTGCGACATCACCGAGAGTTGCCAGAGCGTCATTGTCTACCAGTGCATGTCGTTCTTCGCGTGCGCGAGCACGTACACCGTGTCCGAGATCGCTGCCGCAGGTTCGGGCACGGGCTCGTGCACGTGGTCCAAGGTGGGCGACTCGACAACGGGCACCACGCTGACTCTGACGACGACCTCTGTGACCGCGACCACGAAGACCGACATTGCGTTCGTGGAGGGCCCTAGGGTCGATGACTTCGCGTTTTTCATGTACTGCGACACCAGCTTCGGCACCCTGGAACAGGCGGAGGCGACCTGCAATGCCATGGCAGGATGCCAGATTCTTCACTCGTGCGGGTGCACCACGACAACGTGGGTCGCCTGCAGCGGAAGCCCGGAGGACCTCATGACAATCGGCGGCGGCACGGACGCATGCACTATGATTGACGCCAGGTTGGTTGCTTCATCGACTCTGACAACAGCCACGACGACGGTCATCACAATTACAACGGCAAGTGCAACTGCAACGACAGGCAGCACATCAGTCACAACGCCGACGTCTATCACGACCGCGAGCTCGACGACTTTGACAACCAGCACTTCTACGCCAACGAGCGCTACTTCGGAAAGCACGACAACTACACACAACTCGATCAACATTGACAATAACCACCGCTACCACAACCACTTTGAGCACCGAAAGCAAGACCACCGCCATTTCAGCGAGCAGCGGCACAGCGACGAGTTCAACGACGCGCTCAACGAAGACGGTTACAACATCTACATTGAGCACCCGCAGCGAGACCAGCTTCACATCGGTGAGCAGTGCCACAGCAACGACCACGAGTGTGACAACGATAAGCGTGACGACAACAACGTGGACAACAACGACCGTCACAATTACGAATACCATTACGATGACCAGCTCGTCTACGATGCTCTCCACCAGTGTGAGTAGCAGCGCGAGTGCCACAACTATCAGTTCGATCTCAAGCACCACAGGCACAACAGGAACCAGTACCAAGACGACGGTGAGCACCACCAGCGGGACGACCAGCACAAATGCCACAACTACCACCTGGACATCCAGCACGTCAGGGACGACAGGAACCAATACCAAGACGATGGTGAGCCCCATTAGCGGGACGACTAGCACAAGTGCCACATCTATGAGTTCGATCTCCAGCACCACTGGCACAACAGCCACCACTACGACGACGACTGTGAGCACCACCAGCGAGAAAAGCAGCGCAACTGCCACAACTACCACGTGGACATCCAGCACATCAGGGACGACAGCCACAGCTACCAAGACGACTGTGAGCGCCACCAGCGGGACGACCAGTACAAGTGCCACATCTATGAGTTCGATCTCCAGCACATCAGGCACAACAGGAACCATGACTACGACGACGGTGAGCGCCACCAGCGTCACGACCAGCACAAGTGCCACAGCTACCACTGGGACATCCAGCACATCAGGCACAACATCCACCAAAACCACGACGACTGTGAGCACCACTAGCTTGACAACTTCCACTACTAGCCGCACTCACACACTTCCGCAACTACCCACACCACCAGCGGGACGACCAGCACAAGTGTCACAAGTATGAGTTCGATATCTAGCACATCAGGCACACCATCCACCATTACCACGACGACTGTGAGCACCACTAGCTTGACAAATCGCCTCTTGGATGCCTTTTGGGCCGTTCTTCGTGCGCTCTTGGGGACAACTTGTAGGTTCTTTTGGGCCCTCTTGGGGACCGCTGAGGCCTCTTCGTCGCCAAGCGTTGGACTCCAAGCTATGTTGAACCGGAGCGCGCGCGAAGCGCGCGCGATGGTTGTAGTATATATATAGTTCCATGCCTCCAGATGTCCTTGACCATCATTCCTCCATACATCCATACCTCTACCTCCGTACCTGCTCCGCGCAAGCAACCTGCGCATCCTGACTGGCTGGAATGCGTTTGGCTCGTCGCCTGTTGGACTTCAGTAATGTTCTAACGCGCTCTCTGCGCATCGCGGAAAAAAAGACGGCCCAAGAGAGGGATACGATGTCAGACATGGCGCATGCGTACCTGGTTTGCCCCCTCCCTCTCTCCCCACTCCCTGCCGCTGCTCACCGCATGCCTATGTCGTCGCACTTCTCACACGTTCTTGGCCCCATCGGGAGCTTAACCAAAGGCGTCCGTGGCAGGGCCCGTAAACCGACACCGCCTCGTTTCGGTACACCCCTCACGCGCTTCGCAGCACCAAAGGGACCTCAATCGATGGCCCCAGTGGCAGGGGCCGCACAGTGGCACCGCCTCATTTCGGCGCGCAGCTCAGGCTTCGTGGCCCCATAGGGCGGTCCACCTGAGGCACCTGAGGCCCCAGTGGCAGGGCCCGCATGGCGGCACCGCCTCATGTCGGTACACCCCTCACGCGCTTCGCGCCCCCAAAGGGAGCTCCACCTCAGGCCCTGGTGGCAGGGACCGCCTGCTAGTAACGCCTCATGTCGGCGCACCCCACACACGCTTCGTGGCACCATAGGGACCTCCACCTGAGGCCCCCATGGCAGGGCACGGGTGGCGACACCGCCACATTTCGGCACACTCCTCACACTTCGCGGCCTCATGGGGAGCCCCTGCGCTACACGCAGCTGTCTTGGGCTGGGCCGTTCGCTGGGCTAATCCCACCAGCTCTCTGGGCTGTGGTGGTCTAGGTCTGTGGTGGTCTAGGGCGATTCCTTCGGGGAGGAGTGTACACCTGCTTCGTTTTAGTATACCCTCCCCTATCCAGGGCTAGTGCCAACAACCCCCCGCCATCCCTTTCAGAAAATCCTGCTGGCGAAAGACCCAACCATATGCAGTTGTGAGTGCCGTCGTTGTGAGTATCGCCTTCGGCGCCATGTGAACTCTGGCATTTTGGCCTTAGCTGGAGCTCCCTATGGGGTCACGAAGCGCGTGAGGGGTGTGCCGAAATGCGGCACCGACGCCATTCGAACCCGGGCATTTTGGCCTTAGTTGGGGCTCCCTGTGGGACCACTCAGCGTGTGAGGGGTGTGCAGGCATGAGGCGCCTCCCTCCCACCCATCCCTTCCCATTGCGCTGATTTTTGTTCCCTCTCCGCCGATGGGTGCCATAGGGTGCCTGGCGGACCTGAATCCCCCAACGCACCCCTATCGCATCATGCGCTGAAAGAGGAGCTGTGTACATTGGAGGATGAAAGGGGAAGGATGATGATGATGATGCTGCTGCTGATGATGATTATGATGGTGGTGATGATGATGCTGATGATGATGCTGCTGATGCTGATGATGCTGATGATGCTGATGCTGATGCTGACGATGATAATGATGCTGCCGATGATGATGCTGATGCTGATGATGCTGATGATGATGATGATGGTAATACTGATGATGATGATGCTGACGATGATGATGGTGCTGATGCTGATGATGATGCTGTTGCTGATGGTGATGCTGATGATGGTGGTGATGATGATGATGCTGATGATGATGATGCTGATGATGATGCTGATGCTGCTGATGATGATGACGATGATGATGCTGATGATGATGATGATGATGATGATGCTGTTGATGATGATGATGATGATGATGATGATGGTGCTGACGATGATGATGCTGATGCTGCTGCTGATGATGATGATGCTGCTGATGATGATGATGATGCTGATGAATATGATGATGCTGCTGATGATGATGATGCTGATGATGCTGCTGATGATGATGATGATGATGCTGCTGCTGATGATGATGATGATAGTAATGATGATGATGCTGTTGTTGATGATGATGATGCTGATGATGATGATGCTGATGATGATGATGATGATGCTGCTGATGATGATGATGATGCTCATGATGATGATTGATGATGATGATGATGATGATGATGATGATGATGGTGTGGTGGTGATGAATGATGATGATGATGATGATGATGATGATGATGATGATGATGATGATGATGATGATGATGATGATGATGATGATGGATGATGGAGGATGAGGAGGAGAGGGAGGAGGAGGAGGAGGAGGAGGGGGAGGACGAGGAGGAGGAGGATGCGGACGAGGAAGAGGGAGAGTAGGAGGAGGAGGAGGAGGAGGAGGAGGAGGAGGAGGAGGAGGAGGAGGAGGAGGAGGAGGACGTGGCGGCGGATGAGGAGGAATAGTTTGAGGCTGAGGAATGGGCGGAATGGGCGGTGAGGGGGGTCAGCAGCGGCAGGCGCACGCAGCCCGAGGTGATCCAGAATCGTGGCCCGCGCTGGGGCGAGATCGCCATTGTGAACGACGGGAGCAGCGCGTCGTAATTGGATGGGGATGGGGAACAGGAGGAGGTCGAGGAGGAGGAGGAGGAGGAGGAGGAGGAGGAGGAGGGCGGAGGAGGAGGAGGAGGAAACGGAGGGGGAGAAGGAGGAGGAGGAAGAGGAAGAGGAAGAGGAAGAGGATTATATCCGTAGCCATTTTGGCTCAAGTTCGAAACCTTGCCGCGTGGCTTCGAGCTTGTCCGCAGCCGTGCGGCAGGCTCGGGTGATTTTGGCGTGGGATTTCCTGGTGTGCTGTTCGCCACCAGACCTGCTCTTCTGAGCTTTCGTAGTTGTATCTGTCCCTTGGCAGCCGATGGCTAAGGGAGGCAATGGGTGGCTGCGGAATGCATGGGCATGTGTGGCCAAGCGCTGTTCGTGCAAGGACAACTTCGAGTGGCGCACCGAGTGCTACATCTGCGGGGCGCCCAAGCCCAAGGCGCCCCAACATGCCCTTCCTCGTGCTCCTGGTGGTGCATGGGCTGACCCAGCTCGTGGCCAACTTCGTGGGGGCGCAGGAGCTGGGCCAAAGCCGCGGGCGCTCACCGAGGACGAGCAGCGTGTGTGGCTCGGGCTCAGTGATGAGGAGTTCCGTTCCCTCAGTGGTGTGCTTTCCCAGTCACAGCGTGACAAGTTGCTGCACCGCCGTGCCATGGCGGAATCTGGGCTGGCGCAGCCTGCCTGGGACGCCTGGCAAGCCTCGCAGGATGTCAGCTCGCTCTCCAACCAGCTGCTGGGAGCCCGCGGTCGCCTCCAGAAGCTGGAGCAGGCGGCCACCGACATCATGGTGCAGGTCGCCGACCAGCGGGAGGCGGTGCGAGGCCTGGAGGAGGAGTACGCCGCCGCCAGGGCGCGTGCCTCCGTGGCCTTGGCGCCAGGGGCGGCGCAGCTCGGCCCAGAGGTGCGTGCAGCCCAGACCGCCTTCGGCCAGGCGCGCGCCGCGGTGGGGGGGGACGCTCCCCCAGCGGTCGCGGCGCTGGTCGAGGCTTGCGAGCGGCTCCTCGGGGCTGTCGTGGGGGCTGCGGCCGGAGCGGGCGCGGCGCCTGGGATGGGCGCGGGACCTGCTGAGCGTGCTGATGCGGAGCCTGCGCGTGGGGCCTCGCCAGCAGCTGTACGACAGCCTCATTCCCCAGGCGGCGGGCAGGAGGTGGCCGCGGCGCTCTGTCGGCAGACCCAGGAGTTCGCGGCGGCATCAGGACATCCTGGAGGACAAGCCTGGGACGCGGCAGGTGCTGACTACTCCGACTCGGACGAGCCCATGGCTCCCCCCCCTCGTGCCCTTCCTGCTGGGGGGCAGCTCCTCGTGGCGGCGGACCAGCGCGTGCAGGACGAAGCCACAAGGGCTCTCGCTCGTGCAACTGACCAAGGGAGGCTGCCCGACGCGAGGGGACGCAGCCGTTCCCAGGGGCGAGACCCAGAGGTGCAGTCGGCGCCCGCGGGGGGCGCTGGCCGCGCCCACGCTGCGGGACGCCGCGACGCCCGAGGGGCCAGGCCGCGGGGGTAGCCACCAACTGGAGCTGGACAGCGGCACGTCCAGCGACGATGTGGGTCAGAAGTTGGGGGCACCCTTTGATTGCCCCGTCAGTGTCAGCGAGGCGGCGTCCGTGGACCCAGCGGGCGCCACATCCCGTCCAAACCCTTTGTCGGATCGGCAAGAATTATGGCGAGAACGCGAAGCTGGAGATGGTCTTACGGCGTCTTCAGCTTCACCCAAGTGTTGGAAGTTCTGCACCTGCAACACCACCAGCTGGAGCAGCGTGCAGTGGTTCCTTGAGAATGAGTGCGACGCCGACGTGGTCATGCTGCAGGAGGTGGCCATCGCTCCTGAGCTGCAGCCTGATCGCGAAGCAGCAGTAGGTCGCCTAGGTTGGAAGGCCAAGGTTGCGCCCTCTCGGGACACGGGAGGAGGCCTCTCAGGGGGAGTGTTGGTGGGCACGTGGCCTCGCATTGGCCTCTGCGAGGCTCCTGTCCCGAAGCGCCCTTGGCCCTCTGAGCGGGTTCTCCTCATGTGGGTCAACGGCTTGGTTCCTGGAGGCTTTATTGCTGGGTCGGTTTATTTGGTCTCTGGCGGGGGCCTCGATGACCAGAGTTTTCTGATCCTGAAGCAGCTGGGCGAGGCCTTGAGGGCCATGGGGCAGCCGTTCATTCTCGGGGGTGACTGGAACGTGGCGCCTGAAATGTTAGGGGCCTCAGGATGGCCTTCGGCGGTAGGAGGCTCTATCGTCACCACAGGGGCCTACACTTGTCGGAGCTCGGGGTCCTCCTCCACCTGGAGCTGTCTGGATTATTTCGTCGTGTC